GCAGCACCGGACTTTGAACGTGCAGCGCTTGTGTTTATTCAATGAAATCATAACGTTAGCCATTTGAAGTTTAATCGTCACATTCAGCCATATCGCAATTCTGGTCTTTCCGTCCCGAAATTTAAGACCTCTTGAAATCTTAATTAAGACTTTCTTGTACAATTGAAGACTTTTTAAGGCCTTAAATTTGATACAACTAAATGTAAGACTTTTTAAGACCCCGCGGAAACCCTTCAGCACTGTTGTTGAACGTCGCTCACCTCCAGTATGGTCCTGTTATGCGCGCGATGAGGACTGAGTCGTAGACTCCAGCGGTGCGTCCTGTGGCTCCGCCCACCATCGTCTTCGCTCTCCGTTGTGTCCTGCCGTGTGATTCGCTGACGCTTTCTCTTCCGGGAGCTGATTCGCTGGAGGGAACCCACAATCTGGAGCCTGAACGAATCACAAAGCAGAAAGCGAGCTGAAGACGTGGACGAGGTGTAGCGCATGCGTGCGTGTGTCAATCACACACCTGCTGTCCGTGTCCTCGATGTCTGCGTCTGCGTCGCTGTCTCCCTGAAGATGAGGCTGCACACACTCCTCCTGAAACATGAGTCACACGTATAAACACACACACACACACGCGCTTGCGCTTATACATTCAGACGTGCAGACGCTGCGCCCACCTCTGTGCCGTAACCCTCTGAGTATCTGGTGATCATGGGTCTGTTCTTACCGCACTGGACACACTTCACACTGGAGTCCTGATGACAGACAACGAGACAATGAGACGGATTCCCAAACTGCACGACACGACCCTTTCATTTAAACCATTTACTTTGATTTATCTGTAGCGCTTGCGTAGGCAAAGACAAAACAGATGATAAAATACAGTAGGTCAAAAATCCCATAAATTTACACTGAGGAAAGACTGGAGCCACATATAGAGACAAAAATGTTGGATATTTATTATTATTTTTATTGTTATTTATTATTTAAATTATATATAGTTCAGAAGTTTGGGGTCAGGTTGTTGTTTTTTTGTTTTTGTTTTTTTATGTTAGAAAGAAGTCTCTTCTGCTCACCAAGGCTGCATTTATTTGAATAAAAATGCAGTAAAAACAGGAAAATTGTGAAATATTTTTACAATTTAAAATAACCATTTTCTATGTGAATATATTGTAAAAATTTAATTTATTTCTGTGATTAAAGCTGAATTTTCAGCATCATTACTCCAGTATTCAGTGTCACATGATCTTCAGAAATCATTCTAATATGCTGATTTGCTGCTCAACAAACATCTCTCATTATTATCAATGCTGAAAACAGTTGAGCGGCTTCATATTTTTGTTGAAACCGTGATACATTTTATTTTTCAGGATTCTTTGAAGAATAGAGTTCAAAAGAACAGCACTTGTTTGAAATATAAATCATTTGTAACATTATAAATTACTTTACTGTCACTTTTGATCAATTTAATGCATCCTTAATTTCTTTAAAAAAAAAAAAAAATCTTACTGACCCCAAATTTTGAATACTGTCAAATGCATGTATATGAAAACACTCACCTCCTGTGGGTGCTGATCACAGAAGGTGGTAAAGGGGATATTTTCACACAAACACACTCCAGTCGTCTGCCCACAAGCCCCCAAGTCCTAGAGAAAGAGAAATTGAACATGTGCAGGTCCAATAGTGACACTCATACCTTTCCAATGATGAGGTTCATACCTCACAGCCATTCTCCGAGTTGTCTGAGAGCAGGCCGTTTGAGTCGGAGTCTTTTCTTCTAATCACCTCCATCTCTCTCTGACTCACTCACACTTCCACCTACACGAGGTGAGGGATAAATAAAGAAACGCTGCACCAACAGAACCGCTTCCACTCGAACTTACAGCACATACAGAGCGCCAGTGTGCTCTCCAGCAGAGGGACATCATGCTGAACGCAAATAACAAGAATGCATCTAAACGCATTATAATGGATTTATAAACGTTTGGATTTGTATGTCCAGTGGATATATTGGTTCTAATGCAAATCCAATTGTGAAGCACTGCACTGACAGTGATGAGCGTGACAAGTGTTTTGAAGTGGTTGCACCATCACTTTGGAGAATTGTGCAGCTGTCTGAAACCGAAACCCTGGTTTAGAAATGCGCGTTTGTACTCGGCGCAATCTACAGTTCTATTTCTATTCTAAGCATCTTTTACAAGGAAAAGCAAGCGTTGATGATTTCAGCTCAATCCCACGCGCATCTGGCCCCGCGCGCTCATTGCGTAATAAAGGCGCACGTATTTTATTCCTTCGAAGCGCGCAGATATTTCGCACGTATTTTTTTCGTCTTTCGCGAACACTTTATTTCAATTTCGCAACACGTCCGATTAGCTGAAACATAAGGGTGCTGTCAGTCATTTAAAGGCATTGTAAACACGCGAAACAAACAGCAAAACTAAGAGTTGCGTGTGGAATAAGCACGCGCAAATGGCACAGATCGTTCGTTATCAGCGCAACAAAACCGTGTGCGAACTTCTTAAAGCGGACACCCCTGACTTACCTTGTCTGAAAGATGATACATCATCTCAATCTTCAGCTTCCAGAAATATCATTTGATTGCCCGTAGGTTTTGCGCGTATGCTAAGAAATCAGGACGGGTCCTTCCCGAACACGGGAGCGCTCGGTGCCCCGAAAATGTTTGACATTGTAGTTTCGGTGTCAGTCGCTCGTGGAATAATAAGCCCCCGTGGTGGGGGGTGGCGCAGATGACGTACGGGTTCCGAAGGACCAATCGAATGTTGCCGTGAAGATGACAGCTTCCATCATATTTCATCAATTCTATCCTGTCAAACATGTTCTCAGTAAGTTTAAGAAGGACATTGATGTCAATTGCTCTCTTTGCTCTTTGCATTTGGAAACTGTAGGCCTACCCCACAGCATCTTCTGGCACTGTAGTTATGTTAAAAAGTTATGGTATGATGTCTCTATGTATATCAAAGAAAAGGTACTCTTTCATTTCAATTTGCATTTCGAAAATGTAGTTTTTGGATATTTTAATTATGATAATGTAAATAACGAAGTTTTTGTTATTAGTCTATTTATTTTGTTGATTAAGTTTCACATTCATAAGTGTAAATGTTCTAACAAAAAACCCTGTTTTACATTGTTTTTTAAAGAGTTGGAAAATTACTTGTGTACTATTCAACATAGTACTAATAGAAAGGCAATTAAAACTGTCAGTTTGTGTTCTATCTTCAAAATCTTTGAGTAATGTAAAGGTCATGCATGTCTCTGAGTGTATATATATATATTTTTTTTGTTTAGTTTTTTTTTTCTTTCCTTTTTTTCTTTCTTTTATCCTTTGTTACCCTGGCTTTGTATTGTTTTGTATATGTAGTTTAAAGCATAATAAAAAATAAAAATAAATAAAAAACGCTCATGAAGTGACTCTCAGAGCAAAAATAAATAAAATAACCTTGAATTATAAGCAGTGTTGGGGAGTAACTTTTCATGTAACGGAATTGCGTAATTTAATTACAAAATAAATGTAACTTTAATCTGTTACAGTTACTGAGAAAAAAAAATTTGTAATTATATTACATTACCAAAATGTTAAAGGGGTCATAAAGGGGTCCTTTCTCTTTGGAGTGTTACAAGCTGATTGTGCATAGATAAGATCCCTGAAGTTGCAAAGACTAAAGTCTCAAAACCAAAGAGATATTCTTTATCAAAGTTAAGACTCTGCCACGCCCCCCTAAAACGGCTCGTTCTAACACGCCCCCACATATCTACCTCACTATGTGGAAATATTAGCATAATGCCGCCCAAATGTGCACGCAAAGAAAGAAGGCATGGTTTCAGTAACCGCAGTTAGTGTTGAAACAGCCATGTCAGGGAGACGCTGTGTGTTTCAGTGCGAAAGCAAAAGCACTTTATTTGGCCTTCAGAAAGTAGATGCATTTAGGAATCTTTAAGATAACTTACAACAGAACAGCAATGCATTCTATGGACGACCGTTTCGTGAACCTAGGAGAGGAGGTAATTCTGACTTTGCTATGACAATCTGGCGCTTCTGAATCAGCTACTGTAAGTATGTTTTGTTATTAGTTTAAGTATTTGCTATTGACTGTTCAAATGCGGAGTTTTGCGCATCGTGTATGTCTGTGTGTGTGTGTGTGTGCGTGCGTGCG